AAAGTTTTTTAAGTTCACGGCATGTGTTATCATTATTCAATTGAATATTTGAAACAAACCACAGCATATCTGTTTATTCTAATACAATATTATTTATCAACTGAAATAGTTTCTGTGGAAATTTTATTAAAACAATTATGAACTTAATTAAAAATTTAACATGTAATTAAAATACGAAACGATTTATACCTATAGATTGCGTAAATTTCATATCAGTATTGGTTTGTCCTTTTCTTGATGTTCAACAAGAATTTCAGACGTAATTCCTCATTGTAAGAACATCCACTTTTATCAGATTACTTGAAAACTGTGAGCTATTGTTTATTGTCTAAATATCTATTATGAAAAATAAAAATAAAATAAAAAAGTCTTATATTTCGTGCAAATGACTTATCAAAACAAAATGAAATCTATGTGATATATGTGATTAGTTAACTAACAAACATTTTTGTTGAATAATATTAGGTAATATTTCCACTTGCAAGAACCCCTCCTCGGGTAAAGGCCTCCTCTAAGGTTAGCCAATCTTCTCTAGACTGGGCTATTTTAATCCAATTCGAAGTTGCTACTTTCTTTATTTCTTCTTCCCATCTAGTATATGGCCTTCCCTTCTTTCTTTTTCCTAGTGGGCCTTTTATTATGTTATCTTATCTATTAGCATTTCATAACTGGTTCTGATTTTTCCGCAGCAAAACACCACCATCAATTAAAGTGATGATCAAATCGCTTAATGATTAAAGCATGAATGAATGAATGAATGAGCAAGTCCATATACACATATGGACATATGTTTCAATGATACTATGTACACATATAGTATCATTGAAACATACTTAAAATTAACAAAACCAATTAAATAAAAAAGATACATTTATTAAAAATAATTATCTTTCTATACTTACTTCGAACCAACCATTCATAATATTATCGTTATTATTATTTAGTCCGCAAGTGAACCATAAGGGGAGATTGATGCCCACTACTGAACAGGTCTATGATAAAGAAGAAGATTGTTCACTTACATGATGTTTAAAAGACAAGCCCTATTCATACGTTTCTAATTTCGAAACGAGAAGAGTTATATTATAAAAGGGCCATGTAGTTTAAATGCATCAAATGAAGCTTCTAGTGAAAGTTGTGTGTTGTTTCACTGGTTTTTAATAAAGCCAAAGTCAACAGACATCTAGCGCTATCAAGATTAGGTACATCCAATTTTGTTTTTGTCTAGACGATAAACGTTTCTCAGAATTCATTTACCGCCTCGTATTATTTGATTTGGATTTGAGAATAAACGAGAATCGGTACATATCTATTTGTAATATATTAACGTAGTAGCGTTATTGTAAACAATTCGCTCGAAGTACAAGGTATTTCTAAATCCTCTTAAAGACGAAAGGTAAGATAAAGAAGATACGTGTTTGCAAATTTTTGTGTTTGAGTGATCCGCTCGAAGATTTTAGTTGATGTCTTTCGGGCCATAAGTTTTCAATCGAATCACTAACTCAATTTATCTAGAATAGAACAAGAATGTGGTTGTGTGTGTTTTAAATGTCACACACGAAAGCATTATCAAGATTCTGAACAAACAATACAGAGTAAAAGAACACGCACATCTAAGTATGTACATATTATGTACATTCCGTTTTAAATCCAATTTATGTGAATCAGATAATTCGTGTGACAAACGTCAGAAAATCTGTGGTCTTGTGATCTCTATTGTCAGTGGCATTAAGCATACTTTTGTCTCGAAGATACGTGTCGATAATTTTGTCATCGAAGACTTAACTGGAAACTAGAAGCTGCTAAAAAGATAAAATACTTAGAAAACGGTGTTGATTGAATGTTGGTTGGTCTCATTGTTTGCGCAGTGTTTTGTACGTACGTACCATGTCTCGTGTTGCCGCTATGAATCAACATAGAAAACCAGTGTCTACGAACCTTTATAACGCGATTCTATTTTCGTATTATTCCAAAAATAAATTTGTTAATTTGAATAATTTTTTTTGGTGTTCATTCATTATCGAAAACCAAAAATTAACGGAGACTATTTTAAGATTTACGTTTGCATTTTCAATACCTTAATTTAAGCTGTGAATCATTTGTCATAAAATTCGGAAATATAGTGATAGTGAATTCTAAAAGATTATGTTCACAGTCAATCTGTTTTAAACGTTCAGCCAATTTGTATCGAACGGAAGATTCTGTTTATTGCTTCAATCTTATCACGGTAAATTTACTTTTATTATATATAACAGAAGAGCTATTTCCCTATATCTTAGCCTACATATCTCGCATGATATATAATATATAGTATCGTGTCCTTATTCGTAACGTAAGAGAAACTTTTTGCTCCTTAGTTTTTTATTAATGTTCATCATTTGTTCTCAGAAGATCTTTTGGTTAGTGATGAAATACTTTTTCTCGATTCCCTGAAATGTTGACTTGAGTGGCTTTGCGTGGAGGTCCGGAAAATCGATCCTTTACAATTTTAAGGTTAAGCTTGGCTAATAAACTTTACGCTATACGACGTCGTGTAGTGCTCTGTTATATACAAAGAAACACATTTAATAATAGCCTAAAAATAACGCGGGGATGCCTGCTTTGCTCTGAAGGCGCTGAGCCATTGCTCGGACGTATATCTAAAGTATCAGAATTTAATTACTATCACGTATTTACGATTAAGTAATAATAATTATTATTTGTATTTATAATACGTGATTTAATAAATGTGTGTGTGGAGATAGATGCTTTTTAAAATTGATTCTTGAACAAAACATAGCACGCGATATTTTGCTGACCTAACGGTGTAGCATAGCTGTTGATGTGAAATAACATGGATATATTTTTATCACGCCCGATCAGTACCTATCTATTTATAAGACGGAATAATTCAAAGTAATTTTCCAAATACTTCAAGACGTGTCAATAACCTAATCATTTATATACGTATCAAGAAACAATTACGATACAACAAAATTTCCAACGTTAGTTTATTTAGTTAGCCTAATCAATTAATACCTTATCCAGAATCATCACTATGGAAAAATTTGTTTGTTGTTTGCCCACTGAGTTTCTCGCCGGATCTTCTCAGTGGGTCGCGATTCCGATCCGATGGTAGATTCAGCTAAGCACTGCTGCTGCTAGGGCTAGTGTTAGCATATTCGTTCAAGTTGAGCCCGCGAACTCACCTACACGTCAAGGAAAAGCTGAAATAGCCTCCCAAGGCTATCAGCATAGGTACGAAAAAAAAAAGAAAAATCTATCTTATTAAGAAACTTGCGACAATAACGCTGTTTTAATTAATCATAAATGTTTTTTTTATCCATTTGAATAGATAAAAATTGGTGTCAGCTATATTTGATTGATCTTCGAAATCGACTTTACTGTGTATAAACAAACAACAGGACGGTTTCAAACGTAACTTAAAATAATATAATTTCAACAGTTTAAGTATATTTAGCATATTCGCTCAGGTTGGGCCCGTGAGCTCTCCTACCCGCCCGAACAGAGCTGGAATAGCCTATTAAGCCTAATAGGTAGGTAAAAAAAGCGGCGGGTTTTTTACATTAGATTTAGAATTATATTTATTGTGATGTTTCGACTACTACGAATGAGTCACATTCAATGATTAACATGATGATGATATATCAGAAACTAATCTACGGAATGATCAAAAATCGTTACGCAAGCAAAAAAATATTATCGTATGTACCTAATTAACTCGATAAAATATTAAATAACATCATACTGACAGAATGACGTTGAACCCCAGTAAAAATATTAAGAACTAATAATAACAATGACACTAGAGTAAAGCAGACGAAAGTAATTTTTTTTTCTTAGATGAGTGTACGAGCTCACAGCCTACCTGGTGTTAAGTGGTAACTGGAGCCCATATACATCTACGACGAAAATGCGCCACCCACCTTGAGACATAAGTTCTAAGGTCTCAGGTATAGTTACAACAGCTGCCCCACTCTTCAAACCGAAACGCATTACTGCTTCACGGCAAAAATAAGCAGGGTGGTGGTACCTACCCGCGCGGACTCACAAGAGGTCCTACCACCAGTAAAATTAAAATTAAAATAAATGTAAATTAAAATTAACACAATTTGCTCTAATCTTATATGTATAAAGAGCATTCTTTAAATTCCAGCGTTCTTTCTATTCAGTATCTAATACCATCAAAACACCCTCATAATTACCGAATTTCTTTGAAAACAGCTTCCGGTCCGGAACACTTGCGAAGCTGAAGAAATTAAGAAAAATTAACCTTCCGTAAGGTATTACCGCTTTCGCTGCCCCGAACCGGCACGTACAAAATTATGTGAAGCCATGACAATTTTTTTCCTGCATCCCACAGGAAGCGAGAAGCCAACGTGATTTATATAATGAATAAAAATGCTTTTGTACAAAGCACCCATTTTTCGAAGACGCTGCTGCAATTAACCAATTTGATGGCCTTTTAAAAATTAATGGCTTTGTAATTTTTACATTCTAATTATGTTGGGAGCTTATCGAGGTTCGCTTCTAATTATGTTTCGGAGTAGTTAACGAAAAACATTCAATTCTACTCAGTTACAACAGCAACAACCACAGCTATTTAACAGAGAATCTAAAATACGCATTCGAACGCGGCTAGTGTTCTCATTATAGACGCGTCATCGATTTAATTCGATATCGCAAGAAGACAACGGTATATATTCAAATGAGCACGCAATCGGCTCCGAGCGGTCGGTCTAATCGCAGTAACATCCCTACACAACAAATTAACGTTAGAATCGGAGCGATCTGTGAATTACAAGTGTAAATAATCTCGAGGACGCCCAACCACCACCGTGGGCCGGGCTTGTGTAGAAAAAAAAAAAAAAGAAACTCGTTAAAATAGCGGCTTAAAAAGAAAAGCGCTGAAACGGGAAGGCTCGGGTGGTATCGGTTTTTCACGACGCGGGCGTTTCGCTGGGCGGGGCCCGAGCGTCAGTACCGCGCCGCCGGTCGGCCAGGACGAACGTGTCGGCGGTTTATTGTCCGTTAACCGGCCCCGTGCACATGTTGAGTGATTTTTCGGCATGTTGATTTAGACGTGATTGACAAGATGGACTTTCAGAGTGCAATGGAGACGTTTGCGGAAGCATGGGCAGCCGCCAATACAGTCAAGTCGGAGGTGCCGAGCGATCTTTCACAGGTAATTTTGAAGTTTCATAAATGTTTTTATTGCAATAGAATGGAAACAAATGCACTTCTTTAAAAATAGTCGCTTTGATGTAGGGTATCCTTGAAAAATTATCAAAACGTATGACGTAAATTGATATATTATGTAGCAAATCAGCACTTAATTAGCCCGCGAAGTAGCGGCACAGCTCCATCAGCTTTCTTTCTCAGAAAATCACGACGTAAATAAGACTGAACATAATTAGTTTTTTATTGAGATCAATATCGCAAAAGGTACTAAGTTACGAAATTCTAAGAATACACGACCTTAATAGTTTATTTGTTTCATATTAAAATTTTCATATTTTATGAGTTACGTAATAATGTGAAAATTTTTGATTTGACGTATAAGTATAACAGTAATATAATATGAATGTATGTACTGAAAATTATATCACATTTGAATGGGTTGTGTGATTTATTGGGCTATTTATTTTATACTTTTCAGTTGGGAATAAGTTCGGCTTAAGCAAAATAGTTTAAGATAATAGGTAGGTAGCTGTTTTTTGCGTGTCACTAGAGAGATGAAATATAGCCAACTGACATACTATACAAAAGATACGGTCAGGCGGTGTTTGTAGTATAAGAAAACACCATTTTTATACCAACGTATTGTTCTATAATAGATAGTTCTATCTGATTTCATATTTCATTCCGATATCGCATTCACTATTGCAACTTTTTTTTTTTTTTAAATTAGTCTGATGAATTAGCATAATTCGTTTCTGCAGAAACAAGAAAAATAAAGAAATAACAAAAGATCGGAATGAAATAATAAAATATTACAAATGTATATACTTGTCTATATAATTCGGATAGAACTATGTAGGTATTATAGAACAATATATTGGTATAAAAATCAATTTTCATATTCAACTATACAATAATTCGATCGCCAAATACTTAAATTAATCTCCAAAATACATATTTCACCGCAACTGCAATCTGGGAGATTTTGCTGCTTAAAATATTTTGAGAATGAAATAAATATTTTGTTTTGTAACTTTTTCTTTCTTTCTCTAAATCAATAAAAGATTTGTTTCGTAGGTATGTTTCTTCAGAAACTTTTTCAATTATTATAAATGGCTTCATTGCTGTCCGCTTTATGACACCAATAGTCAAATATTTGTTTAGTGTAATAAAATTCGGGTTCAGTGTTAAACGGTTGCCAACCTTTCTTGGGGAAATAATGTTATGGCTTTGGCTTTTTTGTTTTCATTTTTGGTTTTAGCATAATGCAATCATTATTTTAAAGTTGGCGAGAAATCCACTAACAATTATGAATGAAACAAAATTTTAGGATAAGGCTGACAGAAACAAGTTCGAATGATGGATAACAGATCAACGAATTCACGGAGCACCAATAATTTAAAGGCAGGCTTTAACAAAATTGACAGTGAAAAAATTTAATCTAAACCTGAAGTTTTAAATAATTAATCCTACTCTCAAAAGAAACAAGTGATTGGATTAAGACCCAAATTGTATGAAAATCCAACTAATTCTAACTCTAGTGGATTTTTTGCCCATCTATCTGCCAGTAGCCTTGAGTGGCTATTCTGGTTTCACCATAACTGATGACAGAGCTCCCGGGGTTCAGCTTGAGAGAAGTTTCCAACATCTGGCAAGTGCTCTTGCTAAGCTTCGCTGTATCTACTGCCCAATCGTAATCTACTGAAAAGGTTTAGCGAGAAACTCAACGTGTAGTGTCTATGAGTCCTTCGTGGTAAAGTTCGCCCACTGGGTTTCTCGCCGGATCTTCTCAGTGGGTCGCGTTTCCAATCCGGTGGTAGATTCTGCGAAGCACTGCTCTATTTAGGGTCAGTGTTAGCAACACCTCTTGGTTTGAGCCTCGAGAGCATAGCTACACGCTAGAGTAACACTGATATAGCCTATCAAGGCTATCAGTATAGGTAGGGAAAAAATGTATGGTAAAGTTGCAGGAGTACATCGTCCATAACAGTTTAAAGGGCTGGACTGGTGCGATTTGAGATTCCCCTCCCCGTCATGACTTACGCGAGTGTGGTGTTCGCTCACGCGGCCCGCACACACATAGACACCCTTCAATCTCTACAATCCCGCTTTTGCAGGTTAGCCGTCGGAGCTCCGTGGTTCGTGAGGAACGTTGACCTACACGACGACCTGGGCCTCGAATCTATACAGAAATACATGAAGTCAGCGTCGGAACGGTACTTCGATAAGGNATAAAGCAACCTTACATTTTTTCTTTTTGCGGTCTAGCTTACATTATCCCCCTCATTATGGACACATTTTAACCGTCATTAATAGCTTTCCTTATACTATCTAAAATATCTTTCGACAAGCTAATATTATTACAATTCTTTTGTTAATTAAATATCAACAATTAACGTACTGTTTCGTTCGTCACAGATGAAAGTTATGCATAGAGACAAAGTTCATTGTTGTTATAAGTTCCCCAAATTATGATTTGTTCAAATCTGGAATCAGCGTCACGCGTACTATTTACTATGTGCGTAAGTATTAATTCACCTACTCCTATTCTGGTGTACTCATTTATCACACGAACATTACGTCTAAGACTATGTAGGTATATTATATGCAGAACATAATAAACACAAAAATCTTTTTATGTTTGTTATTTATGTAACAATATTGTTAATTAACTGGCTGTATTAACAATCAATGAATGACATATGTACGTATATCCAGTGATTTATAATCGAGAAACTATCTAAATTAATAATAATTGCACAAAATTTTTTTTTTCTATATTTATTAGATAGGAAAAGGCTAGCGGCTTTAAACGTTTGAGACCTCAGAATTAATCGTCACTGAACAATAGAAAGTTAATAAACGAAACAATTTATGAAAAATTATACTATTTTTACTATTTTTACTTTATTTATACTATTTTTTTGGTAGGCAGCGGCTTGGCTCTGCTCCTGGCATTGCTGAAGTCCATGGGCGACGGTAACCACTCACCATCAGGTGGGCCGTATGCCCGTCTGCCTACAAAGGCAATAAAAAATAAATAAAAAAAAACAAATACTAATTGATACGGGTCTCTTCGTAATTGGAAAAAAATACGACATGGTTATATACTTTTTGTTAAGCGTACACATACGATTATATATAATATGAATTCTTCTTCGATCTTGCGACATGGTTTGAAAGTCTCAATTACGTAGGTACTATCCTTCCAACCTTAAATGATTTATTTGCGGCAGACCTAGATATGATAAGGAAGTGTGGACTGTGTGGAGCCAATCATTGCGCTAAAATGTTCAAAGCAAGCAAGAATCTATCAATTTTGAAACATACTGGTGGTAGGACCTCTTGTGAGTCCGCGCGGGTAGGTACCACCGCCCTGCCTATTTCTGTCGTGAAGCAGTCATGCGTTTCGGTTTGAAGGGTGGTGCAGCCGATGTACTATACTGAGACCTTAGAACTCATATGTCAAATGGGTGGCGGCATTTACGTTGTAGATGTCTTTAGGGGCTCCGGTAACCACTTAACATCAGATGGGCCGTGAGCTCGTCCACCCACATATGCAATAGATAATAAATAAATACAATTGCTCAAACTGTTTTCAATATACGCAAAGGTAGGCGTAAACGCTTTCATCCGATATGATCAGTTTAATTATTGTCTAAGTCACGTGGTTTTCAAACAAATATTGACGGCATCTGTATTTTTTTTGATGGAATTTACATTGTTCATATTTTCATTTTACATCGATAAATCTGATCTATGGCATGTCACCATACCAGCTTATGATTGTGTGTACTGTCTGCAAAAGTGCAGAATAAAACTTATAATTAACGCCATCTGTCGGCTATAGTAGTCATCATCATCATCATCATCATCATCATCAGCCTTTATCTGCCCACTGCTGGACATAGGCCTTCCCCAATGCTATAGTAGTCACTTGGTATTAATATACGAGATGGCGTTCTACCATTATAAAACGTCAATAAAAATCGCATAGATAGCTTATTATTAATTGATAACTTTACAACTTTAACTTTGACGAATCAGAATTGTTTTGAAAAGTCGTGGTCATCAACATTCTAAATACACTTACCTTACTTACTAAAACTAAAAACGAACTCATCAGAAATAATACAAAAAATCTTTCTAAATTCAAATTCACTAAAAATAACAACCGAGGTAAAAACTCGGAAAATAGTAGACACTTAGAAATGTATGTCATCCACAAATAATTTTTCAAAAACATTTTCCGTGTTAGGGATTGATCGACTCGGGTCGATATCCTGTCTTACAAATTGTCTGTCAAAGGCCAATCAACCAACATAAAGTATTGTTTAATTATCGAACTAGAATCAACATTTACAATTATCACTATTATAGTAAGCGGCAAGTGTTGTGTAAATATTATAATTATGATTTAGATAGGACTGACGATCGCTGGAGAAGGCGGGTTCTTGAGTAAAGACGGTATAAAGGGAATCGTAACGGGGGACGCTTGCTGGCTAGGTGGTGCGATGACCTTCGAAAGGTGGTCGGCAGTAGAGCCGAAGACCGAGCTCAGTGGTGTGGCTTATGCCCAGCTGTGGTCGACTGTGGGCTGATCATGATGATGATAATGACGATGATGATGATAATGATTTAGAAGAGAAATATATTTTGTGGAGATTGGTGTACATTAACATTGTTTAGAAGAAAACGATAGATAAAACAACTTGATTTATGTCGCACTAACTTAAGAATGTATTAGATGTAATGATTAGATTGATCCTAGAACTAAAGGTATTTTTCTGATTATAGATCCATCTCCACATAATATACTTTTGAATTCTATGTGACTATTTTTATGATGAAAAATAACAATAGTGAACGAATTAAATGCAAACGCATTGGTTTAGTTAAAGTGATGTTTTTAAAAAAGAAAGAAAGGAGATTGTATGTTTTAGAAAAATAATTATTGTGCTGTTGGAAGATTAAAAAAAATAGGAACAAGATAAATAGAAGTTA